TCTCTATCGGGAAGCGACTGCTTCGCGGCTTGCCATCGACACTCGTGGTGCCAGCGCTCTCGTTCGACGACTGCCACCGCCAGTGCCTCCCCTCCAAGTCCAACTGCTTTGCGTCGTCCTACTTGATGGAAAAATGCAGCTTGTACACGGCTCTGTACCGGCCACGGTCGACGCTGGGGGTCATCAGCCCGAAAACGACGCTGCCAGTCGCACCTACCACGCGAACGTCGTCGGTGCTCTTCCTCACGGCGCACCAAGACGACCACGAGCTCTTCATGTCCGGTCAAGTCGCCAAGGCGGTCGCCGACCCTGACACCGCAGTCGCCTGCATCTACATGACCGCCGGCGACGCCGGATCGAACAACGGCTGGTACGAAGCGCGGGAGGCAGGTACGCTCGCAGCGACGCGAGCGTGGGTTCAAGCGGCTGGGCGCTTTGACCCGGTGCAACGCACGTCGTCCGTCACTATCCTCGGGCACATCGTCGCCAAGGTCGAGATTGGCAACGTCGCACACTACTTTTTGCGACTTCCCGAGCTACGCACGATCGACTTGTCCAAATTTGGGACGCCAGTCTCGCCCATGGACCGACCGGACGAGGTTTATGCGACCGAGGCCGAGGTGCAAGCGGTCCTTTTGGCGGTTGTCAAGCTGGAAGCCAAGGGCCGCGCGACGCTGCATAGCCAGCAGTATGGCCAAGTCGACCACTTCTTGCATGCCATGGCTGGGCGCCTCATCGCGAGCGCTGTGGCCTCCGACCTGACGCTGTCCACGTGCCTTAGCACGGCGTACTACTGGGGCTACCAAAAGTGGCTCGACCCCGTCAACCTCCCCGACCAGCACACGATCGAGCTCCAGCGCCGTGCGTGGCTAGCACTCAGCAGCACCGCGTCAAGCTTTTACCCGACCATGTCGCCGTGGCTCGACCATGTATCGGTGCTTGGCCGCGAGTACGTCGCGTCGTCGCTCTCTCGCACGGACCTCTGCCCTGCCTGATCTCGATTCCGCTAAGCTAATGCCAATCACATTGCGGTGCGTTGGCTCGCTCGACATTCTACACTCGCACGGTAGCAGCAGTACTAGCACGCCGGGTGCAGCTGCTTGAGGTAGAAGAAGAGCACTGCAAAATTTGGACGACCTGTGCAATACCTCTTCATCGTGGCACTGCCCGCTGCAAGCGAAGCGGCGCTATCGCCGTCGAGCCTCGCAGCACGTTGAAGCGACTGCTTCGCTGCCGTTCTACCGGGCAGCTTGCAGGTTGCGATGGCTTCGATTTTCGGTACATCTATTTTTGGCGGCTCGATATTCCATAAAACAGTTTTAAACATGTCGTGTTGGACCCCATCGACATACAAATTTAGAGGCAAAGTGTACGTTTCAAACGTGTTTGCAACAAATCGTGGCTCAACCGCCAGCATCGCGTGGCAGTTGGTCATTCTCGCCGAACGCCATGGCCTCGCTTGCTGTCGTCTGCGATGCACCGCTGCTCGCTATCGTCTGCGCGTTCCAAGCTGGCTGGCCGAGGGCGCTTCTCGACTACCACCGCGCAATCTATGTTCCGTCGCTTTCCCAGCTCAGCGTGCTGGACCACGCCGCGTCGACCGGTGCCACCAAGGTGCTCGCCGCTGCCTACAAGCACCCGAGCGTCTACTGCGTCAGCGCCGCCGCCATGGACGCAGCGGCCTCGAACGGGCATTTCGAGACGGTGGAGTGGCTCCATCACCACGGCGCTCCATGCTCGGTATGCCTCTCTCGCTTCTCATCACAAGCGATGCTCACACCGTGTTGCTTGTAGGTGTGGGCTATGAACGGAGCCGCCAAGCGCGGTCACTTGGCGATTGTGCAGTTTTTGCACGCGCATCGCAGCGAGGGTTGCACCGAGTATGCGCTGCACCACGCACTTCTCTCGAGCCACACGACGACAGCAGCGTTCCTCTTGGCGCATCGCGCCGAAGGCTGCTGCTCGTACACGCTCGTGCGGGCCGCGCAGCTCGGGTGCGTGCTCGTGTATTTTTTCAATGCCTGGTATCGATGCGATGGGCGTAGGCGGTTGGACCTCGTCGAGTTCCTCTTCCTCCATCACCTCCAAGGCCGCAGCGGCGCACAGGCTATGGACATTGCTGCCACGTGGGGGCATCTCGCGATTGTACAGTATCTGCACGACCACAGCGACAGCGCTTGCACGACGCAGGCCCTCGACGGGGCCGCGATGCACGGCCATGCACACGTCGTGGCCTTTCTCGTGCTGCATCGGCGCGAAGGCTACTCCAGCCTCGGCCTCGAGCGAGCGCGCCACCGCGGCTTTGACGCGATCGTCCAGACGCTCTTGTCGTATCCGCATCTCCTGCGGTACTAGCCAACTCGCTTTTATTTATTTATAACAGGCAAAGGTCCACTGCATCCTCAATACATTTATCCTTACGCGTCCGCTACAGCCGGCGGTGTGTCGTTCGTTACCGACGCGTCTGCTACCGTCGAGGCGTCCATGGCATCGTCCAAAGCACCTTCGGTGGACGGCTCGGGCGCAGTCGTCGTTACCACAGAACTCTCTGCGACGGCGGCCGGCGATGCAGCAGGCGAGGCCTGGGCAGAAGCATTCGGCGACGCTTC